GACATAAAGCTAACCTCAATCGGTTCTTTATCTGCGATTCGAGGTTCCTCAACGAGCTCACTGGATTGCTGAAGTCAAACAGGAAGCCAGGCTAATTCCTGTATTGTCATCGTTACATTTAGCAAAATCGCCAAAAATTAATCGATGAAATCAAATCGCATTCTCATGTCTTCAATCCTTTCTCTTTTGTAAACTTAGATCCAAAAAAAAAAAAAGATTCTCGCCGTCCTCTGATAAATCTGAAGAAGAAAAGGAAAAAAAGAGAAAGAGAAAGAGAAGAATACCTCTGAGAATTGAGGACGACGAAACCCTACGCTGGCCATTGGATACAGACAGTCAGAGACTTGAGTGAGTGAAGAGCGCCCTCGCCGACTTAATTTACAAGCCGTTTTAATCTTAATTTGGAGGGAACCCTTTCATTTTTCGCGCCAGACAAACCTCACGTTTTCTTTCCTTCCTTGCCGTTTTTAAAAATAATAATAATAATAATAAATTATTTATTCCTACTGAAATTCACGTGTTTGCTTCCTTGAACTCGATTCCACTATTTACATTTTGATTTTTTATATGAATTTTTCTATTCTGTGTTTGGTATTAAGAATATAATTATTATAATTTTTTAATGTTAATTTTTATTAAAAAAATATAAATTTTATTATTAATATTAATTTAGTCATTTTAATCAAACAGTTATTTAAATAAAAATTAATTTTTACTTTTTAATAATAATTAATAAAAAAAATATAATAATTACATTGTTAGAAAAATCCTTTTTATATTTTTGCAGAGAAGGCCAGACCTTAATACTATTACTAGTACTAGTGGGCTTTCTTGCAAGGGGCCTTTTTATAAACTGGATTTCGAATTCCAAGTAGAACACTTGGCCCAATAGCTGGGTCACGTTTAAATTCAACGGGAGCCTTCAACTTCAGGCTAGAACGCTATCTCTTGGATAAATAACAGGGACCTATCTCTTTGAAGTGTTAAAATTAATTTAATATGAGATTTAGGAATGTTAAAATATGTGTGATGACAAATAAAATGGACTTGAGACAATAGTAATTCTAATACAATATATTTTAACAAATTTTAAAAAAATCTTTTTTTATTTGATTTAATGATAGAATTCTATGTCCTATTAGTGTAGTATGTTGGAAATTTTGGAGACATTTTTCTACAGTAAGATTGATTTAATGTCTTTGTTTCATTATTTCCAAATTTCTCAAACATACATATGTTTTGTTATATAATTTTTTTTTATAACCTCTCCTTAATTAAACTCTTTTCTCGAATCTCTTTCACTGATAATCTCAAAATTAAAACCTAAGGCATTTATCCCTTGCTTTTGGCCAAAATTAAAATCTAGCTAGGGCTCTTCTGGCCAAAATAACTAGGTATTACATACACTTTGCATCCTATGAATCTTGTAGGAGGGCAACAGAGCATCCAACATGCCTAATTAAATATATTGTGGTTGGCATGAATGATGAATCCACATCAAACCAATACAAAGAAAGTGTAATCTGCCATTATTTACTATTTATACACTAAGTGGAGTATATACACATAACTTCAAGATACATACAAATATTTTTCCTGTGATTTGGTTGAGGCCTGAGGGAGAGTTTGTAATTAAATTCTAATCATACAGACGCGGCAACTTTCTGGTGATCTCCAAACCCTATTTTGCAATGATCTCGTTGCAATTTGGCTACGCCGGTATGAACATCTTCAGTAAAAAGTCTCTCAACCTAGGGATGAGTCACTTCGTCCTGATGGTCTACCGCCACGCCTTTGCCACTGCTGCCATCGCACCCTTTGCTCTCATTCTTGAAAGGAGAAGACAACCAAAGATTACATTTCCAGTTTTCATGCAAAATTTCATCCTCGCTCTTGCGTAATTAATTACTTCACTAGTGGTGGCAACAGTAATGACATGTGTTTCTCTTTACGCCATGCTGTTTAATTAGTTACATTACCATTCTGGACAGCATTTTTCCAAGCACAGCTGTCCGCTATATTGCCAATGTTGCAGTGATTCTTTGCCTTTTTCTTCTCATTATGGTTCCAATGATTATGTTGTTCATTAGATACCTGCGACCGCGAGGACTAATTGGAAAGTCTCCCAGTCCTAAAAACTAAACGCAGAGCTGACGTTCAGAAAGAAGGCAATGAATAAGTTGCAACACCATATGGTGTGTTTGGTTTAAATGTATTCCACAATTTTTTGCGAAATTCATTACTAGTTGTATACCTATCATGTTTGGTTTGTTAAATACATTATAAGATAAAAGGTTTTTAATGATAAAATTTTGTGAAAAATTATGAAATTGTCATTATAATTCTCTATAATTGTAACAGATTTTAAAAATTAATCACAAATACACACATGTTTAATGATAATGAAAAAAATTTATCATTAAAAAAATATTTCGTCACTACAACAAAATCACAAAAAAAATATAGACTTGTAATAAAAAAAATGCATCACTATAATTTATCGCAATTATAACAAATTATAAATATTGGTCATAGATACTTATATATTCAACGATAACAAGAAAATTTATCATCAAAAGGTATTTCATTGCTTAAAAATTGTCACAAGGATAATATACAATTATAACTATAGGCTTGTGATAATGAAAATTATCACAAGAACTCATTACAATTATAACACATTTTAAGTATTAATCACAAATACCTACATGTTCAATGAATATGAAATAAATCATCTCTAAAAAATGATCACAGATAAAATATAGGTTTTCGATTATAAAAGTTATCATTGTAACTTATTACAATTATAATAGATTTCAAATATTAGCAATAGATTTCATTCATTTTCACCCATATCATATTTTAATAACAAAAAACAAATTTTGAGATTTTCATTTTAAGCAAGTAATTATTTTTGGAGAAAAGATTTGATTGTGCAATAACTTAACTTTAGGGAGTTAAGTTAAAATATTTTAAAGCTTCAAAGCAAGAAAAGTTAAAATGCTAAGCAAAAATTGAATAAATTAAAAGTTTTAGGATCAAAGTATTCATAAAATAAAAGATTAAGGACCCTATTTACTAGTTTACGGGTGAAGAAATTGCAAGGGGCCCTAAAACTGGACACTGATTAGGAGTCGACACCAAAAAGGTAGTGTCGCCCCTTGTGTCAGGAATTTTGGAAAGTAACGCCATCTGCTTTTTATATTTGGTATATATTATATGTCAAATATTAATTTTTGTATAAATAAAATATTACTTTAATTTAATTGTAACTAGATAATATTAATTTTTTATATTCAAATTATTAAATTTAACAAAATTTACAAATAAAATAAAATGGGATGAGAGGTTTTTGATAATGCTAATTGTAAAATTATTAAATTTAAGTAAATCATTTCTTAATGAGGTGGGGTTTTCCAATTGAAGAATATTTAGAATTTAAATTTATTTTGACTTAAAAAAAAAGATAATGTGAATTTTATATGTTAAAACAATTAAATTCGATAAAATTTATATATTTTAATATTGAATATTTTTTGAATTTTGTTAATATTCTTTCTTTTTAATGTGACTGTGTATAATTTTTTTAAAAATGTAATTGCTAATTACTATTAAATTCATTTTAAACTCAATCTCAATAACTTAATTAGAATCTTTTAACTAAAAATCATTATAAAATTTAATATAAAATAATATAAAATGTAAGCTTTTATATAAAAAATTAAATAACAATTCGTGCAATGTATGAGCAATAAAAACTGCTTTAAAAAAATAATCATTAAATCATAGTTTAGAAAACGCAATTATACATGATAGTCTATTAGACAATTCGTTCCGGCTCCGTGGCATAAATTTTGAATTAAGATCATTCATAAATTTTGAATTAAGGCTATTCACATTTTGTAGGTGATTTTGTAGGTGATGTGATTAAATCCACATAATTTTTTTTTTCTTAATTAATATATGTAAATAATTTTAATATGTTTAAATATATATATAATGGTTTTTTTT